GAGCTCAGCCCTCACCTCCTCTGCTGTAAAGGACAGGAGACTTGACTCCAGTGTGGAGGGAGTTACAGTGTCAGGTTGTGGAGGAGAAGCTGCAGCTGAAGCAGTGGGAGAGAGAACAGATATGGCCCTCAGCTAATCCAAATATGGGCAAAGAGGTGGATAAGATACGAAGTCAGGCTATATGCTGCTCTGTATTGCTAGCTGGCTAAGACTGTAGTCTTGTTGCCCTGGATTGATACCACGGATGTATTGTGTGAATTGGATACCGTATCTAAAAATGGCGCCCGTTCATGTCTACAGAAATTGCTTGCCTGGCGAATACGCCAAAAAAGTTTCTGGCTTCCGGGTCACTTCCGCGTTATGCAGCCCTGTTACAACCCGGCTCACAGGGCTCACGGGCCGCAAACACAACAAAAGGAATTCCCTCATCCCAGCTTTTAGCAGTTTCCAGACAATACTTACGGAGCATCGACTTTAACGTCTGATGCCAGCGCTCTAAAGCGCCCTGAGACTCAGGATGGTAAGGACTGGAAATAGCGTGCTGCACATTCAAAGTTTCCAACACCTGCTTGAACAAGTTGGACTTGAAATTTGTGCCCTGGTCCGTCTGGATTACACGGGGAAGGCCGAAGGTGGAAAAGAATCTGGTTAGAGCTTTGACAACGGAACTGGCAGTGATTTTACTCATCGGAATTGCTTCGGGAAAACGGGTGGCAGCGCACATGACGGTAAGTAGATACTGATTACCATTCTTGGTTCTGGGAAGTGGTCCGACACAGTCTATTATGATTCGTTCAAATGGCTCTCCTATGGCAGGTATGGGATGCAAAGGAGCGGGAGGAATGCTTTGATTAGGCTTTCCGGTGATTTGGCAGATGTGGCAGGAGCGGCAGTATTTGGCTACATCGGATTTTAACCCAGGCCAGAAGAAATGTTTGAGTATAAGCTGGTAGGTTTTTGTAACACCTAGGTGTCCAGACCAGCGACTTTCATGTGCTACAGACAAAACATGTGATCGGTACATAGTGGGCACAACTATCTGAAAAACAACGCTCCAACTACAATCAGAAAAGGGTGGGGACCACTTACGCATTAAGACATCACCGTCCAACAAATAGGCCACCTTCTCACCCTTTGCTTTGTCGGCACTCACCACATTTGAGAAGTATTTTTGTAGAGCCGGATCAGCCCTTTGCGCAGCGCACAGGCGACCACGAGACACCGGGAGAAACGAGCTGTCAGGAGAGGTTGTTTCGAGGCTGGCCAGAGGCACCTGCTCAGTGGTATTCACACAAGGAGAGTTGGCAGTGCTCTCTGTCCCATTCTCGATCCCAACCTCTCCTGAAAAGGCAGGCATCAGCACACTGTCATGGAGAGAAATATCGTCAGTTTTGCGAGCCTGTGCACGAGTAACCACACAGGAGGGAAACAGGTTAGGAGGTGGCGGACTTTTATCTGCTTGTGAGCACTGAGGGACGTTCAACACTTCCAGTGCGGGGGTAACTTTACCACCGGCTATGTCGTTACCCATCAAGAATGTTATGCCTTTAGTTGGTAACGCAGAGCAGATAACGACGGGGAAGAAACCATTAACTAATTTGGACTGAATATGTATAAGATGTACTGGACGGGGAACATAACCCAGCTCAATGCCGCGCAAAACAGCACTATAACCACAGGAGGATTGTTCTGAAAAAGGTAATGTTCCAGCCAGAATTACTGACTGGGAACCGCCAGTATCACGCAGAATGCGCACGGAGCGCTGATCACTAGGCTCACCTGTCAGTGAAACTACCCCCTCAAAAATGAAGGGTTTGAAACAAGCATCAGAGGTTTCACTGTCCGGTGCAGCCTTGATGCGTGATTCAGCTTTAATCAAGCCAACACCTTTTGGTTGTGAAGGGCTAGGTGAAGACTGTTGCTTGCGTTTTAGGGTCAGACAGTTGGAGATGAGATGTCCAGGTTTATGACAATAAAAACACTCCCTGTCCTCTTTCTTAGAACTAGCTGAGGGGGAAGAGTTTTGCCGAGCTGGCTGCTGACGAGGCTGCTCAGAGCCTGATGAAAAAACTGTCTTATGAGTTAAAACAAACTCATCAGCCAAAACAGCAGCAGAGGAGAGCTTTGACACTTTCTGTTCATTTATATACACTACAATACGTTCGGGTAGGCACTTCTTGAAGTCCTCCATTAAAACCAACTCCCTCAAAGAATCAAAATCACTGGCTTTACAGGCTGTACTCCATTTATCAAAAAGAATTCCCTTTTCCCTGGCAAATTCAACATAAGACTGGGTTGGGGCTTTCTTGTGATTTCTAAATTTCTGTCTGTAAGCTTCAGGGACCAGTTCATAGGCACGCAAAATGGCAGCCTTTACAGAGTCATATGTCAGACTGTCTTCAACAGGTAGTGCAGCTACAGCTTCTTGAGCTTTCCCATGAATTTTACACTGGAGCAAAAGAGCCCAAACTTCAGGTGGCCACTGCAAGGCTTTTGCAATGCGCTCAAACGCGCCAAAATAGGAATCCACCTCAGTCTCACGGAACGTGGGCACCAAAACAACATTTTTACCGACATCAAACGCACCTGATGGTGAAGTGGTGGAAGGAGAGGGCTTACTCGCCAGACCGTACGTGGTACCCGGCATCTGAGCCAGTCTCTGTGACTCAAGCTCCAGCTGACGCAGCCGAATAGCTTTCTCAGCTTCAATTTCCATTTTTTTAACTTCGAGCTGATACTGCAGTTCAGCCTGCTTGCCTCTAGCTTTCTCCTGGGATTCCATTTGGAGACGAGCAATACGGACTTTTAGCCGAGCCTCCGTTTTGGACCCAGAGCTGCTGAGGATAGGAGAGAGGGGGTCATAGCGAGTCAGCGTTACTGGCGTCCGTGGCCGTCCCGCTGTTTCACCCTCCTCACCGGAGAGTACTTCAACACCACCCTTCTCAGGAGGAACACCCTTAAGTGGTTGGCTATCAGCCGCTTCACCCAGGGTGCCGTCCTCCAGCACAGCTGACTCTATCTGCACCGGCACTTCAATAAGCTCCAGCTCCACCAACTTACCAATAACAAGAGCCTTAAGCTCCTTTTTCAAAATCGGTTTTTGATACGTGAGACCGAAGTGACTTGCTATTTGAGCCAAATCATCTTTGCGACAGCTATCAATCAGACTAAGGGAGGGGGAAGCCAGGAAGCTATTCAAGTCAAACCGAGACATGACTGAGGACTAAAGGCACCAGGCTGCACTCAATCCCCACAATCAGCTAACCAATTACCCAAAAAAATCCAATTAACCAAAACTTCTAAAATCCACGCTACTTTAACAACTTTTAGCTCCGGGACTCCTTTAACGGAGCTTAATCTCCCGGACGAGCCCCCACTTATGTTACAACCCGGCTCACAGGGGAAAAGGGAAGCAACACAAAACCCAGTTGGTATTAGGTATAAGGTTGTTTATTGTAACATAGATTGTAAAAAGAATGGTTTATATGGACACAAAACACAAACCAAGGAATGGGGCCGGTGGGTGCTGTCCAAATCAAAAACAGAATATAACAAAAGGAGGACTCTCTATGAGCTAATCAGTAAAATCAGTTACCCAATTGAAAGTAAAAGGAAAAACAAAACTGGCTACCAAGGCCGACTAAAGAACAAAAACACACCAGGAACAGCACCCCTGCACCTAGTGTGTGTAACAAAACAAATTGCTACAAGTGGAGGAACCAGTAAAATCAGTTTAAGTATAAAATCTAAACCTGACCCCACTTCCAGGCTTCCAAGATTACCATCAGTAAAATACTACAAACAAAACTGTCGCAAAACAAGCGACCACTCTCTGCTATCTTACTGTTCACACACAAGACAAATATTCTTTCCACAAAGAGGCGAGCTGCCACTAACAGTCAGCTGCCACGACTGACAGACGGGCCGGAGCTTTATAGCTGGGTGTTCCTGATTGGGCGGCAGGGATTGGCCAGCTGCAAACAAACCGCACCAATTAGGCAAGAGAGGGTGGAGCATCCGTGGGGACAGGAGCAGGCCGCTCGGCAGGCAGCCTGGCAAACAGAAAAATTAAACACAACAAAAGTGGCCAGAGTAGCGGCCGTAACAAGCCCACTGAATATGCGCAGTAGTGTCACTTCCATCGTGCCTCTGGGCTATGAGAACAAGCAAACGCCGTTCTGGATTTGGCGCTGCGCGTTCATAAACACGATGCTAGTGGACTTCATGGAGGAGTAATAAGACTTCTACAGGACTTGCTCGGGGCTTGAAATCATCAATTTACACAAATGACAACCGTGTCAAACCTGTTGCAGAACAGGTTGAACTCATTGGTCTTGTCCACATCACCTGATGTTGCCTGGTTGTTCTCTCCCCTCCCACATCTCTCTCTCTCACACTCAGTTCCCCATAAAGATAAAGTGAAAACAGAAGTTTAGAAATTATTGCAAATTTATTAAAAAGTAAAACCTGACATTTTACACTGACATAAGTATTCAAAAACTGTTCTATAACTCTTGAAGTTTAGCTCAGGTTCCTCCATTTCTGCTGCATTAAAGGTTCCCAAGAAGCTCAGTGGTCATTCTTACATGAAGAAGTCTGGAACAACCAGGACTCTTCAGGCGCTGGACCTGGACTAACTGCAAACAGAGCAATCAGGGAGAAGGGCCTCGGTAACAGAAGAGACCAAGATCCTGATGGTCACTCTCCAAGTTATATCACCTTCTGACTTCGGTGGGGGTGAGGCGGGGGCGGTGGGGGTGGGCACAGATGTCATCATCATGTTGCCCTGGATTCTTACATTTGTTTCCACAGGGGGGGAATTTCTGTTTTTTTTTTTTTTATTCCTAATTCCTCTACCTACAACTGTGTGGGGGAAGGGTGGTGGAGGAAGAAGGCGACTGTCTCCCTCCCTGCCTCCTTCCCCCTCTCTCCCCACACACACACTCCCTCCCTCACACCAGTGCTGACTATCAGCAGCATCTGACGGCTGCATTCTCTGCTGTAGCAACGCAGCTGCTCCTCCATCCCTCTCTGCCTCGGCTGCACCTGACATCCCGGCTGCAGGAGTCTTTTGTGTCTCCGTGGGGACCATTGTTGTTTCTCCCCTTTCTGGAGGAAAAGCAACACCATGGACATGATGGGCAACAAAGAGCGACGAGGCGTGAATTTCAAAGGCTTGCTGAAGAGGAATTGGCTTCTGATTGCCACGGTTTTATCAGTGCTGCTAGGTAAGTGGAAGCCCCTTCATGTCTGCTCATGTATACTGAGAATGAGACACTTTCACCTTCAGTGGTGCCATTTTCTTTTACTTATCTTCACTGCTGTTTGCACATCCATCCCTCCCTCTTTGTTTTACCATTCAGTCTTGCTTTCTGCTCCTGTCACTGCTGAAATAAATCAGCCTCTTGTGCATCAGCGTTGCACTGCTCGACTCCAAAGCAACAGAGATGTTAAATGTATGTGAAGGAATACAGTACACGCATTGTATTTCATATTTATATTTTATAAAAGAATGGCGGATGGGTACTGAGTGTGGTGTTATAGGAGACGTAGCTTCTGTCCTCCCAGAGGCAGAGAGCAGTTTTGTCTGGACATGTCTCAGACAGTCAAACGTGACCAGACTGAAGTGACAGCTGATGCTGGGTCTATGTGAGGAGTCTCAGCACTGAGAGCGCAGAGCAGAGGCTATGTACAGGACATACCATCTGCAGCTGCTTAAAACAGAAAATGGTTAAAATGCCTTTAATTGAGTTATTAAATGATTTTTATTTTTATTTTGACTTATTAACCTGAGCTGTGTGTCCTCTGTTAAATGTTTGTTAATAGCTTATGTTATTACACAAATTCAGATTTCATGTATATCAAAGAAATAATTCAACGTTTTTGGAAATGTCATCTTATTCTTCTGAGTTAGATTTGAAGATGGACATCAGTCTTGTTAGTGTGTTACGTACAGAGCTGGAGGCAGTATGTGGTTAGCCTAGCTTAGCTGGGGGACACAGCTAGCCTTGCTCTGTCCAAAACTGTTTCATTTGTACACAAACAAAAATGTAAAAGCAACAATTTTTTTTCCAAAGGTTTGCTATGTCTTTGCTGTGTCTCTGACTGTAGCACAGTTGGCCAGAAACAGTCAGTGAGCACAGGTGATGGTTTTGGTCTCAGTGGCATCAAACCTGACAACAACACAGAGTCACTGGGTTTAGCTGTTGTTTGCATCTAACTCCTCCTAAAATCACAAATTGTGTTTTATATTTTTGTCTCAGTGAGCTCTGGAGGTGTTGGTAGGTTTATTTCTGAACTTCAGACAGGGTTAGGGCTAGGGCCTTCACTCTATGCTACGCTAGGCTAAATGCCTCCCTGCTAGCTCTGTATCTAACACGCAGATATTAGAGTAAATCTTCTCCTGTCACTCTCAGAAAGAAAGCAAACAAGTGTATTTCCCAGCAAGTTGAACTACTTTACTGTTGTGCTCCACTCAACTGTAGCGACACATTTCATGAAGTAAAATACAATGCATGATTGTCTGCTACAGACACATATCGGTGCTGTATATTACATGTTTTTGAGAGAAAAATCTGTATCTCTGACATAAATTAGCTTACTAACTAATGTCTCCTTCTATAAGAAACATGGACATGTGTCATGTTGCAGCGGTTATACAGCAATAAAGTCTGAGCTCCCCAGTTGTTCATTTACCTTGATGACCTCCTTCTCTCTACCAAGCCTCTCCCAGGCTGTTTTCTTTTTAGGCTACAAAACAGTTTATTGAAAGGCAAATAAAATTCCTGCTCTGATCCTGTCATAAAATTGAGTTGGGAGTCTTTATGACTGCCATCATCATATAGTCAGTGTAGTTGTGAAATCAGGAAGGACACTGTGATTGATGCAAAGCACCCAAAAATAAGAGCTAGCAGGTTTTAGAGCTGCAGGCAGGTGCTGCAGTTTAGACATACTGATGTTCCTCGGCTCCAATGAAAAAACAGTAAAAGCTTCTACTATTTTGTGTTGTGTGTTTGAGGTTTTATATGTGCTATTTTAAACCAACTAATACAGAGTGTGACTGTGTGACTTCCATGACTGGTCAGGTTAGAGAGGAAGGAGGAGCCTGAACCAGAGGTTATTAAAAAAAATAGATGAAAGGGATGTAGAGGTGATGAGAAAACAATTTCTGTCTGAAATTGGATCCTTCAGTCAGTACACACATGTAGTACACTGCACAAAGTATATTCACATGTAGTACACTGCGTACTTAGTTTGAAAATATGTGGGTGGTCACTTCCCTTCTGCTACGTAACCAAGATGGCAACCATTGAGGGTGAGAAGTGTCCATCATTTTACACTCTACACACTTGATTGTTTTGAGTGAACCATCTGGGTACTTATAGTTGACTGCATGTTGTGGTACTTGTCAATGTGAACGCACTCATGCACTTAAAACTGTGTGAGTATGGAAGTGTGCGAATTGAGACACAGCAAATATTAGGATGACTAAGTCCTGTCAGGTAGGGAGGGGGCCCTCTGCTTCACCTGCAAAGTGTCACTAAAAGACATGTAAACTATTACGAACACATGCAAAATCACTACAAACAGACACAAAACCACTAAAAATAACTTTATAAAAGCCCCAAAACAACTACAAAAAACACAAAACCACCACACACAGATGCAAAATTACCACAAAGAGACGCAAAACAACAACACACAAACTGATGCAAAATGACCCTAAAGACACACAACTGACCGTTGTTTGTAGTTTGTAGCCCGGTTGGTCTTGTGGAGGGATGTTTTACTTACCCAAGGGTCCACTGTCTCATAAACCATAGGCTCTCTACTTAACACACTTGACACACTCATGAAAGAGGAGGTTATTTCCTTTGGGTCCACTTGATAGAAGTACAGGTCTGATATATAGAAACAGAAAGGATTTCAAAATCTTACAAACCTCACATTTGATGTTACAGCCACAAGCTTAAGAGTATTTAATTGAAGTATCCTATTGTGTGACTATGAAATTATATTAATGATTTTACTTTATTAGCATGTGACGGTTACAGCAGGTATAAAAATGAAAGAAAAAGATTCTGTAACACTGAGCATCGCCTGCTCCTGCCACACGAACACAAACTGCAGCAAACTGAAAGTGTAAAATGTGTCAGTGGTGCAGGTTTACATACAGAGACCTGGACTCAACAGTTCTACCAGTGAACACTCTACTGCCGGCTACACCTGAAAGACTGGGTGAGTGTGTGAGTGAGGTACATGGTAAATAGCGGGTCAGTGTGGTGGTGTCATCAGCTACAATCTGCTGTGTCATCCCATCTTTTACAGGCATCTTTAATGGTGGTCTGCTGTGTGTGGATAAGACAGATCACTGAAATCCCTGAGTGGGATAAATGTGGTGTTTATAGCTGGAAAATAGGGGGGGGGGGGTAACGATGATACTTTATATGACTATATGACTTTACATGTATTCAATTGTATTTGTTTTTAACTGTCTCTGTCCTGGTCTTCCAGGGATCAGTTTGGGTGTCGTGGTCAGAGAGTATGCCTCCCTCTCCCATCTCCACAAGCAGTACTTCGGCTTCCCAGGAGAAATCCTCATGCGGATGCTGAAGCTGGTCATCCTCCCTCTCATCATCTCCAGCATGATAACAGGTGACTCTGACCTCAGCATCAGAGAAAATCAATAAGTCTATATGCAGTAAAATGAATATAGCTTTGAGGTTTTTAATAAAGATAATTTATTTATCCAGTAAACAAAACAAAAAATTCACAAGAAGTTAATCAGTTTCCTGCAGGTACCAGCCCAGTATCTTTACAGATTCTGTTCGTATTGCATGTCTGATGTCCATTGCCAACATTCAGAGCCAATTTGATGTAGACTGGCTTTAAGGTATCGAGGTGGAGTGTTGGCATCAGGGTGATGTATGGGCGTGAGTGTAGCTGACTCAAGCAGAAGAGCAGAGGAGCTCTTGTTCTGTCTGGGGTTGGGCGATATCTGAAATGTAATATTGATACTGTCCACCCCAAATATCGCGATATACAATATTATCGCAGTTGCTTTTTGTTTTTGTTTTTTGTAATACATTTCTTTTTTATTAATAATTATCATTATTCCATGTTTCAGGTATAAGTAATGCTGCCAACAGAACTTCAGGGTTTTATTTGTCACACGCCAAGGTTCAATGTAGAGTAAGCAAAGCGGTGACATCAGCTTGGGACTTAGCAGCAGGACATACTGCGCAAAACTTCAAAATGGCAACACTGAAAAAAAATCAAATCAAAACTCAGATATTATGAAAATATTACATATGGTAGAAAATGTTGTGATATTCGATATCAAAGAATATTGGCCCAAGTCTGGTTCTGTCACAGTCTGTCGTTTGAATTTTCCAAGTGTTTAGTTGTCTAACCCTAACAATACCCTACAATACTTGACGCCATGTGCAGATAATATAAACTTAAAAAACTTTACAAAAATATTGTCATTGGTCATAATCTGTGTTCTGGTACATTCGTTAATATTATTAGGGTTAGAGTAACCAGTGAATGGACAGGAGAGCTGAGACAGTTAGTTAGTATTTGGCAACAATTTTGATAATCACTCAGTCATGTAGGGAAGATTTCCTGCCTTCAGCCATTAAAATGTGAGAATTTGCTGCTTTTCTCTGATTTGTGTGATGGTAAACTGAAAAAAAACTATTTGAAGATGTCACTTTGGGCTACTATTTTTACGACATTTTAATGACCAAACAATTCGTCAATGAAACGAGATTCACTGTTAATAAGTCACATTAAGTTTGAATAACAGTCGCACATTTGCAGCATCTGATAATTAGCACTTAACTAGCTATGTCAAAAGTAAATAACACTGAAAGACAAAGAGTGTATTGTATGTAGCTAAATTAGTCTACAGCTACACAAAATACATTTATGACTAATGAGATACAGTCAGAGTGTGTTAGTTTCCTGCAGTCTGTAGGCAGTGAAGGGAACATAAGAATCCATCTGATTATGTCTCAGTTCTGCCAAAACACTTAGGAGTAACATTCACAAAATACACCAGGAGACAGCAGATAACTGATGCTCCAGGTGACAGTTGAATGTCATTTAGGAGCTGCATTACATCTGCTCTGACTAATCCACAGCAGCAGATCAGTTCTGCCTGCTGGAATGTAGTCAGGCAGCTGATTCTTATCTCAATGCTGCAACATGAAGAAAAATTATGTGGAATATTTAACAGAAGCTTCAAGATGATCCTGTTTTGTTAAACTGAAAAGTGATCATGTAAAATGGCAGATTTCTTTTTCCTTTAGCTTCGCTCCAAAACAACTGAGCAGAATTCAAAAAACAACGAAAAGATTTCTTCTTTTCTGTCCACATGCAGTCTATTGGATTAATAGATTCCTGCAGTATTGGCTCAGTGCACACTGGTTTACGGGGGATTTAGAAAGTGTCTTTAAAGATGGAGATCTCCTCATCACATTTGCTTAACGATAAGAATTTTAGAAAGAACATGGAGGTGGAGATTCATTTATTTCATGAAATAAATGACAATGGGGAGGAACCTTGAGCTGCTATGGTAGACTGCAATGTAAAGAGGACTCAGTTATTTCTTATCTGTTCAACAGGAATAAAGACTTTACTTTTGAGAAAGAAGGAATTACAAGCAGTAGAGAAAATTCATAAAATATATACAAAAAAAAAAAGACGCAGAAAGTCAAGTCACAACAAGGCACTAAAACAGCATCTATATGAATATGGCAATAAACCTATAAGTGTTTGACTCGCCCAATCAATCAACATCAGAATAATAGTAGCTATAAAGGCTGGTGGGTGGGGAGGCTTTTTGATGAAAATGAATTAGTTCAGTCTTTGTATCTTTTTATAACATTGGATAAAATTGTAAAATTGTGTGTGTGTGTGTGTGTATTATATATATATATATATATATAAATAGCTGGGGTTAGAATGTGATTACTTAATGATGTACATCTGTGAATGAACCACCATGGAGGGAGTGGCTACATGACATCAGTGACAGAACAACAAATAGCAAAATTAGTCGTTCATGAGCAAACACTTATGTAAACTACCACTATCTCACTGCTACACAATAAGAAATAGCCTATTAGGCAAAACAATAAAGATCACACAACATCCAAGAAACATACACAATGTTTCACATTTCATACTTAAAGGAAAAGACAGTCCTACAGAACATCCAGGGATGTCCCAAAATACAAAATGTGTAACAGGGTTAGGGTTAGTAGGGGCCAGTATACAGAGGCTTGGGAATAAAGGTTTGTCCACAGTAGGATATACAGCACACAAAGGGTACAGGCAGAACATTAGTCTATATGACTTTGTTTACATAACTAGTTAGATACTCAAGAAAATAAGTAGATAAGAGTAGGAGTAGTAGTAGTAGATGAGAACAAAACATTTTCTGTAAAAAGGAGGTTCTTCAATATCAAGGGAAGAAAGTCCTTCAGTAATTACCCACTTTTCTTTTGGAAGGCCAGTGAAACTGAACATCAGCCATGTTGGTTTGCAGAAACAGGGAAGTCTTAACACTAGATGTTCTTTCTTCCTGTCAGGACCTGGTGTTTGGAATTTGACAGTTTGTAAAGCTCTTTGAGGAAGACACATGCAGGCCTTTGAAAAGTTGAAAGGAAAATACAATATACAACACAGTGTCTAATTTTTCAGTTTCTTACAAATAAGACACATTACAATCCAACCATAAAATCCCTTTTAGAAGGGATCCCCACACAGCAGATTCATTTACATATGTATGAAACCTTTAACCTGGAACAGTATTACTGTGCAGAACACATGAGAAAACAGTGGCAGAAGGATTTAAAGCAGCATATAGATGATGAGAGCTGGAGGTCATGACAGAGAGTCAGTTTAAAATACTCCAGACTGCACTGTACACCATCACTGAGGCAGGCTGGGCCCACACTCCCCTCTCTATATGACTACATCCACGTTTTGGAAATGTCCAAAGATTTAGAACCTTTGGAGAGAAGTTCAGGACAAAATACTTTTATATTAATAATATAATTGGATGTAGCTTAGTGATGCCAGTTATTCACTGTGTTATATAAAACAGACATTTCAATCAGGGGATCTTGTTCGGTTGTTTGCCCATAAAATCAGTCCCTGAATTGCTTATTGTTACTGGGATTTGTTTTTCCCATCTGCATTTCCCTAGAGTTTCTCTACCTATTCATTGTTTCCTACAGTGTATCATACCTGTTCATAAAGGTGGGAAGCCCTGTTGTATGTATCAGGATTGGTTGCTGCTCTCCCACTGCCTGTGAGGTGGGACAGTATTTTCCTCTTCTGTGTTTTATTTGAAGTGTTGATCCATAAAAAATATATTTGTGGTTTTAAGAACCAAAAACCATCTCAGTGTAGTTTTACATCTCCTCTCTCAGGCTTGACTCTGGTGCTCTAGTAACAACAGGTTAGTGAGCTAATCAGAAGAGAGGAGGCTCTGAGCCTCTCTTCTGATTGGCTGACTGTTTTCTGAGTGATCCAATAAAAATATAGCAGATTTTAGGTAAACACTCAGAGAAACCAAATCCTGCAAGGTTGGATGGTGGGTCCAGGTGCGCCGAGCTTGGGGCATGACTGACAGCGGTGACTGCTTTGTTGTGACATCACAAAGTTCCAGAAGTCCTGACGGCTGGTTTTAAGGCTCAGGTTCTGAATACAGGCTGTGTGCATTTCTCTGTGGACTGAGGCTTTGATACTTTCACAGTATTACTATAGAACCTAGACCTGATCTATAATCAAACAACACATAGACAGAGACATTTAGACTGTATGGAGCTTTAACCTTTGTGAACTAATGTAATCATTACTTCAGAGTAGGTTGGTGGAGTGGGAGTTGGGTTTCTTCCTATTGGATCATGACTGTTCAAGACATAAAAGCATCGTTTTTATCTGTAATCAAACAGAGACCCAGCTGTTTTTATATAACATGTATTACAATTATAACAATTGAACAATCTACAACAAAAAAATAATTCAACTTTACAGCTGCTATTACAGTGTAGTCATTATGCTAAAGACTTGTGTCCATGTTCTCATCACCTGTCTGTACATTGAAGTCTGCTTGAAATGATAAAAGGTCAAATCTTGTGTTTTGATACTTGCTAGCGGTTGATAGAGTGGTTGAATTAAACGTTGTGCTTTTGCGCACAGGTGTCGCAGCCCTGGACTCTGAGGTATCAGGAAAGATCGGTCTGCGAGCTGTTGTTTATTACTTCTCAACCACCATCATTGCAGTTATACTCGGTGAGCTCTATCAAGCCTTTCTACACTGGCTCTCAGTAACACTGCATTTAAATTCCCCTTTGCTTTACAGTGAAGAAGTCATTTAAATGGAATCATGTGGTCCATGATGATATTGTTGAAACATGTCTGCGTCCATTGCAGGAATCATTTTGGTGATGACTATCAAACCGGGAGTCTCTCAGACAGCTGAGCACATTGACAGAGCCGGGACCACGCCAAATGTCACAACAGTCGACACACTCTTGGATCTCCTCAGGTGAACTCCCAGTCATGTGACTGAAGCTTCACGTTTTTCATGACCGTTAAGTGTCCACTTTGAATTGAAGCAAAAGTGTGTTTACTTGTAACACATGGCCACAGTCAAAGGTAGGGTGAAAAGCATCCCACACCATTCCAACACATTAAAGCAACAATGTAGCAGGAGGATCAAGCGCGTACTATTGAAGTTCAGTCCTTACCGCAGCAGCCAAGATTAGAATTAAGCCCCTGCTGTTTTCTGGATGTGATTCCCTCTCTCTCTCTTTCCTGTCTCTCTCTCAAAGTCACTATCTCATTAGGAAAAGACAAACAATAGTATTGCCATTCTTTAGTATCTTAGTGTTCTATATTCACTGTAGAAATCTAGAATTTAATAATGTTTTGCTTATATTGGCTGATGCACAGGTGAGTATCTGCACTTTTTTTCTACTTCAAGCACTGGTTTATACATTCCTCAGTGCTGTGTTCATGAACTGTCCTCCTAAAAAAAACACTATCTCATGTTCAGTCACATGCCTCCGCCCTTTTCAACTAACGTTAGTCTGTGTTCACTCAAAGTGAAGCTGGTGACATGGATGACATGAGCACAGACACTGAGCCTCAGGCTACGTCCATACTAACACATTTCAGTTTTAAAACGCGTCACTTCTGCCACGTTAACTTGTTGACTGACGTCCACGACTCCGGAGCTTTCGAGTGCCTAAAAGGAAGACCTTTGGAAATGCTGCTGGACCTGTCAACTCCAAAGGTTACACTAATGTGGAAAATTGAGAGGTTGAGAGAATGAGAAAATTGAGAGCAAGAGGTTTTTCAGGCGCTGTTCGATGATCCAACGAGTACTTTGTTTGTAGCTTTAAGTTCAGAGTTCTGAGGCTGATATATCCAAACTTCAGTTTCTTCAATTGAAGGCAATTCATTTGGTTGAAAACAATGTACAGGGTGTGCTGAAAATCCTGTTCCCCCACAACTTTCTGTTGACAACATCTTGCCATCCCTAGGGAAGACATCTGTTACCCACATTCACAGTCTCTGTGAATATAAAAATCATTCCCTCCTGGATTCTGCATGAAGAGTCGTGGCAATGACTCAACTGTAAAGAAAGGATTGTAGTACACATCATTATTTTTGCGTCCTTTACCCTCGATCTTGTCTCTTTCATCAACAGAAACATGTTTCCAGAAAATCTGGTGCAGGCTTGTTTTCAGCAGGTAAGAGGCGCTGCACATTCATCATTCAGTCCTGTTCCATTTCCTGTGCATTTTAAAATGTTGTGTCAGGGTCTGGTGAGTACAGTATATGTTGCCATGTGAGTAACTCTGAAAATGTGACCAATCACACTAGTACAAGACTAAGCGCAAAGAGCTGGAGCCTCCAAAAGTTTCGGCTGAGACGACTACAATTCCTCCTCTCACAACTTCTATCATGGCGGCAGTAGAGGTAAGTGTGCATGTTACGCTATGCTGGTCATCCACAGCAGTCACTATCTTAACGGTGTCAATGTATTGTCTTGTTTGTCAAACAAGCAAAGCTACACTTACACCAGAGTTCACCAGTGTCTTATGTTGGGAAGATGCATTAACATGATTGCTGGGGTTTGACCTTTACATGATGACAGTAAATCCTCGTTGATTCATCAGCTCCACTTTACAGTTCATGATTCTGCACCTGTCAACCAACTTCTGATCCAAGTGTCTCCCCAAATAGTGCCACTATGGCAACAGGTGTACCAGACTTTATTGTAATGATGACAATAATAAACATACAGAGTGCATTGCCAACAGCGTACTGGACCGTCATCGCCATGGTTACTATAATAATGGATTTATTAGGTTTAGGCACAAAAACTTTTTCTTTAGGTTCGGGAAAAGATCATGGATCTTTAGAATTAGCTAATACAGTGGTAAGAGCAGCGTTGTGGCCTGGTATTAGCTAACTGAATGCTTCCTCTCTCGGCAGAACATCACTAAGGACTATAAAATCATCGGGACATATTCGGATGGAATCAATGTGCTGGGGCTCATAGTGTTCTGTGTTGCTTTTGGCCTTGTCATTGGGAAGATGGGTGAAAAGGGGCGAATCCTGCTGGAATTTTTTGACGCCCTGAATGAAGCAACCATGAAGCTTGTCCAGATAATTATGTGGTATGTATAAAAGGCTAAGCTACAGGTATACATGTATGGTGGCCCTAAGGCCAAGCCACAAATAGCCCACCAACACATAATACAGTGGCTCAGACTAATTAGCCAATAAGCTATATCTCTTGTGCGTAAAGTGCTAGCATGTGACACTACATACATCTCACAACTGTCTCATCTGCAATACTAGAACAGCCATTAAGATCATTTATGTAAAAAGTAATAATGACACAATATAAAAATTTCATCAACTCCTCCAACATGAACCAACACAGGTGGTTTGTTAACCCTCTGATACGACCCACAGTCGAGTGTCCTGAAATAGTGCCACTACCAGAGTACCAGACCTTTGTTGCCAAGGTTACAATAATAAACAGTCACGGTTTGGTTAGGTTTAGGCACAAAAACTACAAGATGGTGGTTTGGTTTACTTCCTTAAGATTAGACAAACTCTGTTGTCATGGTTACAAGAATAAGAATTTGGTTAAGTTTGTTGAACGGTAAAAGGAAGTTAGTTGCTTTCTACCACTGCTCACTTGTTACCTAGCTTAGCTAAAACAGACATGGACAGTATGACACAGAGATGAAGAGAGAAGCTTCTTAATAAATTAAATCAGAAAATGACAAAACCCGACCTAAGAAAAAAGTTAATAAATTAAATGCAATAAAACCAGAAACCTAAGACCAGGTTTGGTTATATCGGCCAAATTAGAATAATCGCTGGGTCTATAGAATGTCAAATAGAAGATGTCCATCAGTTTTCTCAGAAACAAACTCACATATTCAAATGAGTTAATTTGGCCAATCAATAGTTCAAAGCTTGAATAGATTCATTTAACCATCATAGAAGACTAAGAAAAGCAGCAAATTGGAACCTTTGGTTTTCCTGTTTTTAAAAAATGACTTAGATGATCAATAAAAGTTGTTGCTGTTAATTAACTAAAATAAATTAATCAACTTATCATTCCAGCTGATATCCAAATACAGAGTATTAGCTATGATGTTAGCATCTATACCCCAGATCATTCAGACTACTTGTGTCTTTTCAGCTACATGCCAATAGGGATCCTGTTCCTAATTGCTGCTAAGATCATTGAGGTGGAAGACTGGGAGATCTTCAGGAAGATGGGTCTTTACATGGTGACGGTGCTGAGTGGGTAAGTTGTCCCATTACTCTGTATCTGCCTGTTCCAGACACCAGGATTTATGGTTGACATTTGGGCCAATTCTCCCTCGCAGTCATACAGTAAAAGCTGAGCTCTGTGTGGGCACTGATAAGGGCCAAGGACATTTAAAACTGCTCAACCTGCAGATACAGTAATGAAAGCTTTGCTCACACGTCTAAATCTAAGTGACACACCATTAAAGAGTGTACAGTAAAACCCCTTTAGTCAGGTCTCAGGGTTAGTCCAAGGCTCGGATCCTTCCTGTGATGACATCAGGTTTATTCTTTACACCATGTTCAAATCTTCTGGTTTTGGGTGTCAAAATGAAGACGAATCTCTTCAAATCTGCCCTTTAGAAGGACTGTGTACTTCAGTCAACTCACCATTGTGTCTTTATCCCTCAATTCAAGGCCCTTTATCAGTAATTATGACTTGGTCATTACTTCCAGGTGCATTTCCATTAACCTGCTTAATGTGCAATTTGGAATTGCAAATGTAAAAGTAATGGAAACTCATGGATTTAAAAAAAAAACTCTCAAATGTCCCAAAAGAATGTATACACTCTGGTGTATCATTCCATAAAGCAGTATTCACAAAATTGAAATGGAAAACACTATTTTCACATTCAAGTGGCAGCGCCTGTTGTATCAGGCCCTAGGAAGCCAGGTCCAACAGGGAGGCAAATGCTGGAAATCTGTCGTCACCATGTTTAATTGGAATGATATCACGAGAAGAGAAAACCCAGTTTCATTCACAAAACATCAGTCAGTGGAAACATAGAACATTTACTATTGTGTTTTGTTGACCTTTCTAAAATCGCTTCTATTTTGCGTAAAACTGCAAAAGAAATGCGGATACTGATCAGAAACATCACCACGGCTGTGAGAAATGTTACCAACACTAATAGGCTACAGACTGATCACACCTGTGAACATTATACCCCTGTGCCAAAAATGATTATTTTCTCACTCTATAATCATATTTTATTTCTGCCTTTCTTGCTAAATTAAGTGTAAAAAATGATAATTACAGATGACTGTTGCATTGTCTGTAATGCACCATCAAGTTGCACTTTACCATTTACCAAGGACACCAGTGGAGGACAGAGACAGTGGCATAGAGACATGAAATAAAAGACAGAGAGACTTTGTCATTCTGTGGTGTCTCAGCTCCCAGACACCCCAACAATACTGTCTTAATGAAAACACATTCATTACACATGTAAGTGTGTGTACTGTGCATGTTGTTGGAATTTTCACATGTAGAAAAGTCTATGATGCACCTGTTGTTAAAAATTTAAATGTGCTTAGGCAAGAAAAAGATTGAGGCTAATTGCATTAAACACAATCCAAGAATTATCCTGTTTTTTCAAAGCCTAAATAAGGCTTAAATAAGAAACTGCAGAGTGGTTAGTTTTTACAAAGTGTTTGTGAAGTTTGTGTGTGCATAATTATAAATGATGATCAATACCATTTTGAAAAGGTCTGAGTTGAACACTGAAACTGTCTTTCAAATACTTTATACTTTTACTATCTGTTAAAATTGAACCAAACGACTGAGTAGTTGATAATATGATATCCAAACAAAAGCACTTTTAAAGGTATGATGATTATAGAGACATGGGGAGAATCTATTTCTTTTCTAAGTCTAATATTGTGCTTGTTATATACTGTATAGTAATTGCTGTGATTCTGTATGTTTTGTTCCTCAGTCTAGCTATCCACTCCACCATCTGTCTGCCACTCATCTTCTTCATCATCGTGAGAAAGAACCCGTATACATTCACTCTGGGAATGGCTCAGGCCCTGGTGACGGCTCTCATGATCTCGTCAAGGTCAGAATCCTCCGAGCTCCTTCTTATATTCAGTGTATTTCAACACTGATGCTATTGATGAATGTGTTGCGTTAAAGCAAGGTATAAATAGTTCTATATTTAAATTGAGGGCAGCAGGGGAACCACTGTATCAGAGTAACAAAGCCAACGGAGTGTGATGAATGTCTTCCAGCTCCGCCACTCTACCCGTCACCTTCCGCTGTGCCGAGGAGAACAATCGCATAGACAAGCGAATCACCCGCTTTGTCCTCCCAGTGGGCGCCACCATTAACATGGATGGCACAGCGCTCTATGAGGCGGTGGCTGCCATCTTCATCGCCCAGCTGAATGACTACACTCTGGATGTGGGCCAGATTGTTACCATCAGGTACAATTTAGTTATAGCTAATGGCAGGTTATGATATAAAACAGAGAGGCTGTAAATAATACAATTTTTTAAATCACTGACATAGATTGCTTTCTCAACCGTTCCTATTATCAGCATATGGATTTGATAGGCGTTGAAATCAGATACCACATCTTCTGACACGTTTATATAATAAAATAAAAATGAGACTGTTTCAAAATAAGTAAAAAATACATTTAGTACATGACTGTGCTGTCACAGAAGGAGCTGGTAAATGATTTCTTTTAGATTTAGGGGATTTACAGTTTTTTGTGCGCATGTCAACAAAAGAATCCAGTTTCAGGCAGATCCATCTGCTTTCATTTCATATATTTACATATTCCATTTATATATTCATATAGTGCATATCTTTCTTTAGTTATTCTTTTCTATTTGAGTATGTATCAACTGTGTTATTTTTTGTTTGTTTTGTATTCCACAAGATCAAGTGTAGGAACTTTGTCCCATACCACTGAACTTCTGTAACAGCTGCTCACAGTCAGCTAACTAATGTTATCTGATGCTCTGCAGAGTTTCTTGCTGACATTTGGGGCCACCGATGTGCAATATTCTCTGTGTGCTGTAGTTTCTTTTCTGCATGTTATTAGGATGAATATTTGTGACAGTGGCATGCTTTCAGGGCAGGCAAGGCAAGAAACATACGACCAGTTAAAGCTAAAAATGCACATGAATTAGAACAATACCAAAGTGGAAGCAAAATCTCTCCTTACATCTGATCTCAGGACAGCGTTGTGTTCCATAAAGGATCGGATGCCTGTTCGCATCAAGCATCAACCTCAAGGCTAAAACATGAAGCCAACACTGAAGAACCAAAACCTGCAGTTCCTCTAATGACCACTAGAGTCTGGCTCCAAGAGTTAGTCAATCCCCATAGACTCCGATGTTAAAATGTCCAACTTTACAGCAGAAATAAACATCCTGGTACAAAAACAGTTTTGGTCTCTAGAGCTAATTTCCACCTTCATGACAACAGTTCATATAACTCACCTGTTTACATTTTATTAAGGCTTAAAATTTTGTAGAATTTATGGTGTGGCCTCTTTGAGTGACAGGTGGGTGAGCATATGCTTGCCACAAACCGGCATACACCGAAGTCTCAGGTCCACACATGCCCCACCCCTTTGACCATATTTGGATTAGCTGGGAGTTAGGGGCAGAGTCAGACACTGCCTAGATGGCGACGGTGGAGCAGCTCACTCTGAGCTTCAAAATCGTTCTTCAGAAACCTGTGAGTGACATCATGGAGGCTACATCCAACTTTATTTAGTGTATAGTTTGCATCCATTATGTAATTTACTGCCCACCTGTGACTGCAGTCGGCTAGCTTGACTAGCAGCCATTGTATTTATCGTTTCTGTAATTTTCGTGGGTGTGACTGTGTGCAGTTGACAAAGGCAGAGGTTTGTAAAGCAGAGAGGGGGGCAGCATCGAGAAGAATCCTGGGCTCTAGCTACAGCCAAAGTGTGCGTCCGGAACAGAGAAGTTAACAGGATGAAGCTCATTGTTCAGCTCTGCACACCACTGATTTGTGACATTGTATCTCTTTGTTTCAGTATAACAGCAACAGTTGCCAGTATTGGGGCAGCAGGAGTCCCGAACGCTGGCCTTGTCACCATGGTGATAGTTTTAACAGCCGTAGGATTACCTGCAAGTGATGTCACTCTGATAGTGGCTGTGGATTGGCTCCTGTAAGTTTCCTACCTTTCTTACATAAAAGTTTAAATTCTAACAAGACCACTGCTGTGGCTTTATTGTGAGTGTGTGTGTTTCAGGGATCGGTTCCGCACCATGATCAACGTGCTGGGTGACGCTTACGGAGCCAGCATCGTTCAGAAACTCTCCAAGAGGGAACTGGAGAGAATGGATCTGACGTCAGACGTGGACGTCGCCAACCCCTTCGCTCTGGAAGCCACCTTGGATGACGAGGAGTGCGAGAAGAAATCGTACGTGAATGGAGGTTTCACCGTCGACAAGACAGATGCAATCTCCTTCACCGAAACCTCCCAGTTTTAGCCTCTGGCTGGCTCAGAGGTGCAGAGAAAGTGCCGCGCTGCAACGGATGTAAAGCAGAAAACCATCCATCATGTATCAGCACCACCACCACGAGACAGGAAAACTATCCAACCAGATCCATCCAAGCTCAGACATCAGCAATAGCAGCCTCCATGAAAATTATCCAAGATGATCACAAAACGACATCAGACATTTACAACCACGACTGAAGTGCTTCCCTCTTACTCAAATTGTGCCAAGATTAATAAAAGTCAGTTTTCTTTTGAATAAGAGTGTGTTCTTTCTTACAAAGATGCACTCAGAAAGAGCTGTGTGTGTGTGTGTGTGTGTGTGTGTGTGTGTGTGTGTGTGCGGATACAGTTTTTTTGAAGTGTGTGTATAGACTTTGCGAAAATGGAAAATATAAAATTCCTCTGTACTTTATTTGCTTCTTGATTAGATGTTAAATCTCTGAAGTGAATGATTTTTTTTTGTGTGGCTGTTGTTAAATGTCCCATGATGCACTGCTTGTATAACTATCTGTATATTTAAACTGTGCCAAACATATAGAGTTTTTTCACCGAGTTGCATGAGGCAGTATGTTAAAGATGTGGTGACCGCTGGCTGCAGGCCGATTTTTATGGAGACTCTACAGAGACTGGACAGCTCATGAAGTCAATGAACACTGTGAAATTTGAGGACATTTTTTCAGAACCAAGTCATTGCAAAGTATAATAATCATAAATAGAGTTTGTGTTTAGGCAGCATGGGGAAAACTTACAGTGTATTTAGATGCCCCTGATTGTACCTTCACAAACCAGACCATTTTAATTGTCAGCTGATGGATTTATATGTCAATAATCTGATAATCAAAGTGTGTCTTTCTATGTGCTTTTTGTCACTATTTTATTTTCACTACATTATGTTAAAATGCAGCTATGACACAGATGCATGGCAAGCTTTCATCTGTTAAACCAATTTCAGCTGGTTCTAAACTTTTTTGTTGAAAGACATGAAAACCATTGGGTATGTTTGTTCAGCTGTTAAAGGAATAGTTTGACATTTATTAGCTTAATTTATTAAGTACAGTGCATATTTTCAAAGATGTTGTCCTTTAATACAAAAATCTAGGCTCAGATGCACAGAAGTGTATATGTACAGCAACCTAATAGATAGATATGACAGCAATTTTTTTTTAGTTTCTTTTCCAGGTTTTGACCCGGTTTGTAAAATTCAGAGCAGCAGCGTCATGTCTAACATTTGAAAATCACCCATCCCCTGAAAACATCTACGGAAGCTGAGAAAGGCCATATTCGCAGATATTTTTTCATCCTGTTATCTCAAGATAACAAAGCTCATTATCCTGCGATAACAAGATATTATCAGGAGAAAACGATTTTGACCTCATACACGTGAGTCATTTCGTTATCTCGTTATAACAAAGTAATATCATGTGAAAATTATTTTTTGTTACCCTGAGATAATGACGTATTATAAGTAGAAAACAATTTTGACTGAACCTCATACACTAGATCGCAGTAACACTCCTTAGCAACAGTCCTTGGTAACTCATTAGCTGATGAGGACTGATCTGAAAATGATCTTGTATGAAAAGACACTGTGTAATTTCCCTTGATTGAAATATTGAAATATTCTCTGATGCATTCATCAATGCATGGTCCTGACATTTCCACTTTACAGCACTAGAAGTTCCCATCTGCAAACTGGCTTGGCACATCTGATCTCTGATTAACAAAGTCATTATAATGAGAAAAGAAGCATTGTTATTTCCAGATAACAGGATAATTATGTTGTTATGTTGGGATAACAAAAAAGTATTTTCCTCCTGATAATAATAATTATACAACAAAATAGGCACCTTCTGCAGTTGCTGTCTTTCATCATTCCATTTCATGCCTACAATAAGCAGATATTGATTTTGAACCAACTTAGGTCATCAGAACTTGAGGTAGTCCGTCTGCTGTTACCCACTTAGCTAATAAAACTACTTGTGCTATATTCTTTTTACTAGCCAGTTAGCGTGAGGACATGAGGGCTTTTTAATGGAAGGGAGAGGAGATAAAAGACCTGATGTTATCATCTCATCAGAGAAACTGTTGTAACTAGGAAGCCTGTATAAATATCAAAGTGCTTTTATTCTTTTCTTCTGAGCTTCTTCGCATATTTTTTGAATGCACGGTATATTTTGTCTACTTCCAGCCTAGATGCCTTGTTAGCTTCTCACTAGCTAAATGTGGGTGCAGAGAATTGTGTATCAGGTTGGGCTGTGATTGGCGAGTTGCACTGTTGCAACACAACATGGATAAAGGTTATAAAAACAATAGGGCTATAAATCTAAAATGGTTGAGAAGTCCATAGACATCCCACAATACCAGCCTGTCAGGCAAAATAAACATGCACAGTTTTGCTATAACAACATCATCAGACAGGACTAAGGTCCAGGTCCTGGCCTCTTAGAACTAGATCTTAAGACGTGCTATGCAACCAGGTTGGAAACAAAAATGTTTAAAAGTGGAAGGTGGAGTCACCTCCACAGCCGCTGGCCAATCACCATGAAGTAAATGTCTGCACTTATGGTAATGCTCCATGGCTGCACTGTTACTTATGATGCTCACAGAGTAATTGTGGTCCTATGCTCTTTTATATTTACATACATCCATTTCTGTAACAGACCTGTGTTTGGACTCCATGCAGCAGCTGCACATGCACATATAGTACTCCAGCTGAGAGTTACTGTACGTTCAGACTGAACCGTCTGGGACACTGTTGAAGTTCATGGGTGCTCTGACGTAGATGAAATAGATGGCTAGCAAGTTTGGTTGGATTGCTGTTTTACATGCTTTGGTGCTAGTTAGTATTATTTTCACACAATATTTTATAGGCTACACTTCACCCACTCACCTGGAACACCTACAATCTCAGATATCTTTGTCCAGGCATTGCTTTTTTAAGTCAATGTTGTTGTAAAGGATCGGAAAACCCTCCACCACAATTATCAACATCTCCCAAAACAAATGTTTGATGGGAACACAAGTTTTCACAATTGTGTTCTCTACTGTTATCTAGTGTTCTCCGGATCGGAGCACTTCTACGTTACATAAAGTTCCCAGTGCTGGTCCCATGACCTTTGTTCCCAGTATGATAATCATCGTCATTGTTTCTAGGTTGAAGTAAAACGGTCTAATCCAAATATCTTTTCCAGACTACTGGCATAAAACTCAATATTCATCCCGACACACTTCACTGACCCTCATGTCAACACTGTCTGAACAGGAGCCCGTCATTCATTAAACCACACCAAGCTTCTTGGTAGTTATTGCTCAAATTGTAGTAGAAATGAAACTGCCAAATTAGTTTACAGCACAATAACTGTACAATGTGTTCCATTCAAAGTTCAAAGTCATGCTAATTTCAGTGGTCCAAAATCATACTTCCTTGGTCTGTGTAACCCTTACCCTAACCCTTACCCAAGTACCACTCCCAAATCAGCAGTTAATGTGTTAATACTTAGCGGTTAGTGGCAAGATTGACATAGACAGCAAACACTGCTCCTAAAACTTCCTTGCTAGGTGTAGGCCTACCTGCTAATTTCAGTGGTCCAGCTCAGAAAACTCAAAAGTTTCCTGCTCCCAAAGCAACAGCTAATGTGTCAACAGCCTAGTTGCAGAGAAATTGCAACCGCTAAATGCTACGATATCTTTCAGCTTTATCCTTAAACAAGCATCATGCAGATGTTTTGATAGATTTATGGTCATGGAGTGTTGAAAACTCAAAGTTTGTCTATTTTCTGAATAATAAAAATGTTCAATAAAGTGATGGTGTTTAAAGAGCTCTGTCAGGTTTAGTGTGATTTCACATGACTACATCGTTGGGGATAACAAATCTTGCCTATACGTGTCTTACTTTTAGTGTTGATGGGCCTTAGTGTCAGTGTCTCAGATCAGTCATCCATCCTCTGCCAAAAGAGTCACATTTGAAATGACACATGGATGTTTGTATTTCTATACTGGTCAGAGATGACATGCAGATTCTACATTTCTAAAGCACACTATGATGGCATCAACCTACCCTCTCTCTGTACACTTGAGTACCTACAGTGTGAATCAGCATGGACTGCATTATGTGTAACTGCAAGCTAATAAAAGAAAGCTGCTCATTTTTTTGGTCTGATTTTGTTGTCTACATTCATATTCACCATGATTAAGATAACCATGAGATTATCTGAGATTGATTAGTATGGAACACAAAAACTACTTGGTTACGTTTAGGAAAAGATTGTGGTTTGGGTTAAAATAACTTTTTTGTCATAGTTACAATAGTAACAACGTGCTAAACTTTTTCAAAGGGTCATTCATAAAAGAAACATTGACCCATCTATCCACAACCTCCTCCTGACGTGGACGTTGTCTCTCTTTATACTACATTGCCACACTTTCTCACTGGCTCCAATCATAACTACTATGACCACTAGATGTCGCCTAGCAACAAAACCTAACTATGGGTCATAATAACCTGCTGCACAGACAACCTATGGGCTTGTTTCTCCATGGAGTTTAATCTGGAATGCTATGAGCAAATATATGATAGGCCACTTGCACCAATCAATATGGCAATTCAGATTTTGATTAATACATGTCCACAGAGGCATGCACACCTAAACTGGTGAAACTCAGTTTCATGTCAAAAATCAGTTTTTCTTTGGCACTGTGCGGTAGACACAGTGCGTCAGGGAGGGGCTGGGAGCCGAGCTGTAGCTAACATTTGCTCGGTTTGTTTCTCTGATAACTTATGAACCAGACGTTCAGGAGGTTTTTACCAGTAGCTGAATTATCCACAAAGGTGTCCTCCTCTCCATAACAAACACACCAGTTGATTAAAACCAGTAGAAACACCAAATAAAGCAGTTTCACCTTAAAAGGACGTCTCCAGCAGCTGGGAGCTGAGCTGTCTAACATTTCCTTTGCTTTTTTCTCTGATAACTTCAGATCCAGACGTCCGACGACTAAAATCCTTCATCTGGTTCAAATATAGAGTGAAAACCACCAAGGTGTAATAATGTATGTGGCTTAAAACTAGATAAAAGTCAATGTTGAGCTTCTGTAAGACTAACACAACACTGACACATGATCATAGAGGATACGATGTCATTGACAGGATGACCAATAAAACGTAACCAAGATTAAAATCACAGATATCTCTGATTTGAGAATTGATGGAAACATTTGGGAAATAAATTATGATTTAAACATCCAGTGAAGCTTCACCTGAAGAGGTAATTACCTTCCTCAAATCAATACATGAAACAAACACAAGCGTTATATTTGCATCATGTTTTCAATGTTGTTTTCCACCATTTGAGGGTTGACTGGCGCTCTTCTAATTATCTCATCTCTTCCTCAGTGGTTTAGCTCAACTAAAGTCTTCTACCACCTTCTTTGTTCCCTGCTGGTTCCAAACTGGTTGTGATGTATAGCATTATTTAAAGACTTCTGTTCAAAGTGACTTAGCAACCCACTAAAGCGCTCTGCACTGCCACCAAGGCCTGCATGACACACCTAAGTAGAGTTCTGTTTCGGCAGCCATTCTGCAATTGATCACAATGTTCCTGACAGAGCCGGTGCTTAAGGCCTCGCAGTCGTTGTGAGCAGCTATTTTTCTGATATACGGCAGTAGTTCACACAGAGCTGCAGCGCCACAGACACTATTTGCTTTTAATAGCCTTCGGGGTGATTTAGCTAAGGACTCGACAATGTCGGCCTGATAGATTAACGATATAGAGACTGATGACGTCAAAGCTATACAACGGCCACCAGGCTGTGTTCAGCTGAGATTTAACTTCACCAAGGTTTACTTTAACAAGAGAGGAGAGGGAGAAGGCAGATGTCTGACATCACATACATACTTTTGCTGCTATGGTGATTTGCAAAGATTGCCCTGACCTGAGCCCATAGTAAAAGTTCAGAAGAAACAAGACAGGAGGGTGATGAGTGAGTTATTTGTGAGTTAGTTTTAATGTCTAGTCACTGCTCTCTAAAGGCCAAAAACAGATCAATGACACTTTAATATAACATATACACTGAGTATACTGATCTATAACAAATAAACATCATGAGTCATGTGCAGAAATGACATTTACATTACATTTTTGGAGGCTTTGAAATGCACCAACATTTATTCCAGTATTTCATTGTCCAAAAAATAATCAAATAAACTATATGGACAATCAGTTTCAACAGGTTTACATCCAGAAAAGCACAAATTCTCAACATAGAGGAAAAAGAGTCTTTTAAAAAATGATTTAGGGGAGAGAGAGAGAGAGAGAGAGAGAGAGAGAGAGGAGAGAGAGAGAGAGAGAGAGAGGTCTACAACCAAAATCAAACAAGCGACGTTACAGTTACATGGTATCCATGAAGCTTTAGGCCAGCAGGACGCCCCAGCAGAGCAGCTCCACCTCTCCTCTCCAGAGCCCAGCCACGTCATCATGGTGGACCTGGAGAGATGGATCTTCTAGCCAAAACCCTGTCCACCTCACACACTGTGGCCCCCTGTAACACAACAATTTTTTGTAAGAGAAAATCCCTCTGTCGTTCTATCTCTCTGTGATGCTGAGTGCATCCCCAGAGCTGTTTCATGCAAAGTTACAAAAATACACTACAAAGTAAAAACTTAAGACCTAGTACATGTCTGGACCTACGGTCAAATCCTGATTTTATAGCTGTGACATCATCTGACGAGGTCACCAAACACATAAATGAAAAAAAAAGACTGAGCTGTGATTTCAGCTGTATTTACGGTAACATGATCACTCAGAAAGTTAGAAGAGACAGTGTCTCTCACACAGAGCACAGCCTCCATCTGGTACCCACAACAGTTTAGACTTTATTTACTTCAACTCCAGAACATAACAGACTTTTATTAGAGGCATGTCTATATATATTTTTTATGTTGCTGTTATCCTCCAGGACAGCTGAGCCTGTGGGACCTGGAGACGCGCAGTGTCCTGTCTGTCCTCTCCCTGGATCCACTGTATGAAGCTGCTTCATGGGTGTGAGGTATCTGTCCTGCTCAGCCTCAGCCCCAACCTCATCAGCGTCAGGTCACCATCCAGGACTGTCCTGGAGTCAGCAACTCAAGTCTCTAAACATAAAGATGTGTTTGGAGAGTCCAGCAACAGTGAGGAAGAGGAGGAGAACTCATAGGACACACTCTGCAGACAGTACTGTCCTGGTCACTTCATGGACACACACTGAAGAAGGTGGAATATGTGACATTATAGGATACAAACTAAAACCCTAATATTGCTCCAATCACTTTACAGTATTGTGTGTAAACACCTGAGCACCTCTCTGTTGGATTAGACTCTATCAGTTTTAGCTAGGCCTTCCTAATAAACTGCTAAGTGTATGTTACAAGTAAAAGTCCTTCATTCACATTTTTACTTCAGTGCAGAAGTATAAGTGTACACATATACTTTAAGTAGTAAAAGTAATCACTGTGCAAAAGTATTCTATAAGTACTCTATAATGTACCAGTGGGTTATGATTATTGATGCATCAGTGGGTAATTATCACTTCAATGTTGCAACTGGTAAAGTTTGGGCTAATTATAATTACTTCATAGTGCATTGCTGGGTAACTACTCTGGGTAGCTACTACTGATAATGTGTCATCATGTATTTGTTGATTATGTTTGTAGCAGCATTACATGGAAATACTCAAATAGTACTCAAAGTAAATGTACCATTAAGAAAAGTACAGTTACTTTCCATATGAAGGTCTTTTTGGTACTAAACGACTGAGCACATGTGTCAGTGGAATAAGTAGTTATATAAAATAGTCACAAATGTGTATGAGTAAATTTGAGGTCACAGAGAAAAGATGCTCTCGGAGTTGCATACTTGCAGATTCTCTCTTCCACAAACACAACACAACAGTTACACCTTCTCAAACCCTTCAATGCAAAAGCACAAATCCTGTTTTACAAATCCAAAATTAATAAACCATAAGCTGTATTTTTTCTACCAGTGAACGTACCAGTGAATGTGCAAAACACATTCATAAACCAGATCAAATGATGTGAAGGCATGGACAAAGTTTGCACATCTGCAAATCAGTATGTGAATTCTTGCAATAAGGATTGTACACCTGTAGAATAGTAATGAATACATGTTTTTCTTTTTTTTGTAGCACAAACACAAGTCAATAACTACAACTGCTGGAATCTTGCGCTACGAGTTGCAAATGCTGTTTTTTCACTCGCAAATGACAAGTTCTACCACATACTGTATCTCTATGAAATGTGTAGCCAAAGTGATTTGTATGTCTGTTGAACCAGTTGCGGGCACTGTTCAGGGATTGGAAAACTTTTGGCCACTGTTGTGTTGTGTTTTTGGAAGAGAAAAAAATATAATAAAATATATAAGTATTCAACTCCTACAGCATTTTGTCTCTGTCACCTCAAATTTACTGATACATGAGTGGCTATTTTATACAACTACTTTTTTTCCACTTTCCACTGCCAAAAATACATTCATACTTTCCACCACTGTGCAGGATAAGGCTGAAAACTAAATGGTTAATAGTAAAATGTGAATATTGTGCAGTAGAGTGACAAAAGTAGACAATTAACAGAGAAATGTTTATGAAAATTTACTAGCATTGAGTAACATTAGCTACTGTAAGCTACTCGTCATACCAGACCAAGTAAGACCGTAGCAGCAAAACACCTGAGTATGTACTGAACTTAACAACAACTTTTCTCTGATAAGAGGAAGGATGTTTATTTCTTTTTTTCTCTAACTGGACAGGGCTGGAGGAAAAACTGTTAAACTGAAAACAACCTTGCAGCTAAGAGGCTCTTACAGAAAAACCACATGAATTTCACACTCTCAAAATCACGTGTGGTCACATGTACATGTGATTTTTTTAACATGTGAAAACATATATGTGAAACACATGCTGGCGTATGGGAAACATGTGGTTTTGGAACATTTTCGTGGTGTAATGTGTGAAGCCCATGGAAATTCCCATGTGAAACCTCTGGGATTACATGTGAGACCTAGGAAATTACATGTGAAACCCATGAGATAACATGGGATTACATGTGAAACCTCTGGAATGTGAAACTTTTGGGAATACATGTGAAACCTATGAAATTACATGTTAAATTTATTGGATAACATCGGATTACATGTGAAACCTTTGGGAATACATGTGAAACATATGAAATTACGTGTGAAACCTATGGGATTGCATGTGAAAAAAAATCACATATGAAATGTGTGGAACACATGCTGGCACATGGGAAATATGTGGTTTTGGAACATTTTCGTGGTGTAATGTGTGAAGAACATGTAAATTCCCATGTGAAACCTTTGGGGTTACATGTGAAACCTCTGGGATTACGTGTGTTTGGAATTACATGTGAAATGTGACCCGTTTCGTGGTGTGGAAAATGTGTTTGCTTGCTCTCTCGCTCACTGCAGCCTTTTAAACATTGCGGGTGAAATAAAATGCAGCAAGTACTCAACCAGTCAGAAATGTTCAGCACCGCAGGCCACACCCCCCAAAGTTCCTGAACCTTTGGAAAGTACTACCCCTTGACCAGGTACCTTTTTGGGGGACGATCAATTACCCCTGGAACTAAATCGAGACCCTGGTTCCTGCAGTGGAAACGCGCATAGTTCCTCAAAAGGTACCTGGTTCCTGGGGAAAGTTCCTGGAGTGGAAACGCGGCTCATTACTGTGATTCTGTCAGCCCATGATGTGTTTAACCTGGTTTAACCTCGCACAGACTGGGATCAGGGGGAAATGAAAGCCTCCAAACTTTATTGAAAAACATAATTTGACTTGTGTAGTCATTGGAAAAACATAAAATTAACAATGTTGTTCTTTTGATATTTTTGATTTATTTATTCATTAGTTTTTTTGTTTGTTTTTTTAATGCAGTTTTGCCCTGTTACAGAGTCTGATCCTCGTGCCACTGCTTTGCTTACTGTACATTGAACCTTGGCATGTGACAAATAAAACTTTGAGCTGTTGTTTACTGGCAGCATTGCCACTAAACAACAGTTCAAAGTTTTACGTAACCTAAAACATAAAATACAATAAAATAATTATATTATTAAAAAAAAGAGATATTAAACAACCAAACCAAACAAAATAAATGAAAATGAAATGAAAAAATTTGATTTTTCATTTCAGCTCAGTGTGAGAGTCTCTAGTGTGTTAGGGGGAGTTTACAGCTTCAGTGTTGACAACTAGATTTAGAGACTTCTTGACTGGACCTCCACAGCAGAGCAAGGCCTTTATTTACCGCTTTAATTTCTTTATTTCTAATTTCCTCTCTTTGATATGTATAATTGATCATAGCGGTGTTTTAGTACAGATATAGTTACTGCATTACATGTTTATACAAACGGAACACACTTGTAACCGTTTCAGTGGACAGAAACCCTTTATGTCTTCCAAGGCCCCACTGCTGCAGTCCAGCCAAAATCTACTCTATGGACAGTTAAGTTACACTAAATTCTAAAAGACAAAAAGTACATTATACTGAATTTATTAGGACATGGAGGAAGTGCTGAGATTCAAAGAACACCAAATTAAAATAGGAGTACATCAGGCAATTAACAGTAGTTCAACATATGATTAAAAATACAAGTTCTTTAAAGAGATGATCACAGGAGCACACTGTAACAAGGAGTGGCTAGTATGGATTTCACATTCCCATCAGCCCGCTCTCTACAACTGCATATAGCATGATCTGAGCTGGGCGACCCCACAGATCAGCCTTCACTAGAGTGAAACACATACTAATGTTGCAATATGTAATACTGAGTCTCATGCTTTTCATTACTTACGTAGATGAGTCGACGTACAGCTTTTGGCGTCGTCAGGAGTCCTTGAACACGCTTATGGACTTCTTCCCATTCCCTGTGAGAACTGGATGGAGACCTGAACAGTCACAGCCAGGGACTCAATTGAGTGACATTTTTTAGAAGCAGTGAAACTCAAAGTCAGATGAGACGACTAATCTAAATCTTATCTATGTGCATCCATTACTGTTATGCTGTCAGTCCATGATATGTTAAACCTTGTTTAACTGAAAGCCTCCAATCATTAAATTAACAATTATCAAATGTTGCTCTTTTGATATTTTTGATTTATTTATTCAGTAGTTTTTTTGTTTGTTTTTTTAATGCAGTTTTGCCCTGCTACAGACTCTGACCCTCGTGTCACTGCTTTGCTTACTGTACATTGAACCTTGGCATGTGACAAATAAAACTTTGAGCTGTTGTTTACTGGCAGCATTGCCACTAAACAACAGCTCAAGTTTTACCTCATCTAAAACATAAAATACAATAACAGAATTATATTATTTAAAAAAAGAGATATTACATTTTGTATATTGCCATGGCTATCATACTATGAATGTCAAGAAACTGACCTGCTGAGCCTGGCTTGTTGTTTATAAGACCGCAACAGTGCTGCAGGGTCAGGACCACAGTGGTTGTCAACAGGATCATCTGTTTGTGAAGAGCTTGAGTCGCCCTCAGATTTCTCTCCAGCCTACCAAAGGAAGCAGAAATGACTCAACACTTGCCTTTGTATTGTTGAGATAACCATCTCATAAATGCTTCTGCAAATCCCCAGTTAATTAATTTCACTCAATATTGCTGGTCTCATTTGCAGTTATTAAAGGCTCAATCAGTTTTTTGATTGACCTACATTTATGGAATATTTAGGTACATGATTGAAGAGTTTATGTTACAAATGGAAATTCTATATTTTGTGTTTATCAATAGGATAATTATTATGTAGGTGTATGTAAAAATCTGTCTTTTTAAGGTTTGTCTATATACAGGTCCCAGGATATGCTGTTAAGAATTAGTTGAAGTTGTTAAATTAGCTTATTCACTCTTTTCAATAGTGAAATGAGAAGATCGTGGAGTCAGGATGTGGTTGGCCTAGCTTAGCATGAAGAGTGGAAGCAGGGGGCAGCAACATTTGTTAAATCCATAAACAAACACAAAGAGTTTGTGCTGGAACAGTTTCTTGTGGTGAAGTTGCCAGGTTTAGTAAAATTGTTTCTGTACAGAGACCAAAACCAAATCAACCAAAGTGGAACCAAGTGGATGTATAAACTATTGTTTGTCAATGAAAAGGTTCCAGCATTGCCCACTTTTCTAATTTAGAGATTGTAGAAGACAGCTTGGGACCGAAAGATCGCCAGTTCAAATCTCTGGACCGACAGGAAGATAGATGGGAGGGGAGGAATGAATGAACAGTGCCTTCCTCAACATTCACAACTGAAGTGCCTTTGAGCAAGGTGTGTGTGGCTGCCCACTACACCTTGTGCGTGTTTGTGCACTCATTTTGCATGTGTGTTCACTACTGAAGGATGGGTTAATTGCAGAGGTCAAATTTCCTGTGTGTATAAAACAAACTTGGATAATAAAGATTCTTCTTCTAACAACCTATTAAACCATAAATTGGTCTTTTTACATTTCTGTTTAAGTGGAGTTAGCCTAAGCTAGGCTCACCATATACTAACTCCAGATCTGTACTTAACACAGAGATTTGGGTTTGGTTCAATCTTCTCATCTCACTCCAGCAAAGAAAGCAAAAAAAATTTAATTCCCAAAATGCTGACCTTTTCCTTTAATACTTATGTTTTAAAATTAGGACAACATCTACCATAACCTCATAACTTCTTCCATCCAAGAGAGGAATATAAGATGTCCGTACCAAACCAATGGATAAAGGTTTTCTTCTGCCAGTTGGAGAGAATCTCACTACAACAGCAGAAAGAGTTACTGAGTGTAAGTTAGAGCACAGTAGGTAAATAGGTTTTCAACATCAAAACAGCTTTTTACAGTCAGCTGTGTCATGTCAACACAGCAGTATAACAATTACAGTACTTTTTTATAAGCAGTCATGGGAAGTTGTATGAGACTGTAAACCTTGTTTAGTATCAACAAAGCAGCTTTATATGAGGATTTCTACCTGTGGATGAAGACCTGATCAAAGGTGAAGAGAAGCTTGTAAACACTGCAGACCTGAGGGCTGAGTCAGATCGACTGGCTCCTGGCCACGAAGCCAGCATCTACACACAGATGAATGGCACAGTGAGCTTCAGAAAGAATTCAGATCCACTGTTTGTTCACTTTATTGTGTTGTAGACTTAGTTCAAACTACACTCAATAAGCCATTAAGACAAAATGAAATCATGACCCATTGGCAGCAATTACAGCGGCAAGTCTTCTTGGGAAAGTCTCTGCAACTTGGTTAAGTCCACTTTTCCTGGTGGATCCTCAAGCTCTGTCAGAGTGGATGGGAAGCATGTGTGACCTGTCATCTTCAGGTCTCTCCACAGGTGTTTTATGGGCTCATATGACTTTTAATCAAAGTGGCTTCTGTCTAGTCTCTCTACCATAAAGACCTGATTGATATAGGGCTGCAGAGACAATTTGTCCAGTTGTCATGGAGTTGGGTCAGTTATAATACTTTTATTAGTATAGCACTTTTAAATAAACTAACAAACTGCTTCACATGAGTCAAATATAAAAAAATCAAAACAAATCAAAGTAAAATGTCAATGAACTTAAAAGACATCACACAATAAAAACTTATTTATTAGAATGTGTGATAAAGTGAGGTAAAACTGAACTGACTCTAAGAGTCTGAGCTCCTCTGGCAGCTTGTTCCAAAGTTTAGGGCCCTGACAGCAAAGGCCCCATCTCCTTTGTTTTTCAACCCAGGCCTTGTCCTGGCTGGCACTGAACTACCAGAGGATCTCAGACTGAGTCCTAGGTCATAGGGGGATAAAAGCTCAGAAATCTGGTCATCAGGTCTGATTGGTCATGGATATTGTGTTTACGAATGATGTCACCAAGAGGGAGCATATAAATGGAAATAAAATTGGACCCAGGATTGAGCCTTGGGGGACACCAAAGGGTGAGTTAGCAGAGGATGACACTGAGGGTGAGCATATGCTCTAATTTCCTCCTTCATGACAAGTGTACAGGGAGTGAATTTTATATAAATGTCTCGTTAAAATTTATAAGTTCTGAAAAATTGAGGGCATGCTGCTTTGAGTGACAGGTGGGTGAGCGTATGCCTGCCACAAGCCAGCATGCACCAAAATTTCGGCTCGCCACATTCCCCTCCTCTTTTCCCATTTTTGGATTAGCCGGGAGGTCGGTGAAATCAGGGACTGACTAGATGGCGATGATGGAACAGCCCACTCTGAGCTTCAAAACCGCTCTTCAGAAACCTATGGGTGTCTATGGGTTAAACCAACGTGTGTTTGGGTAAAGTTACAAGATGCAAACTTGTTCTGTTTATTTTGGTGTGTTAAATGCAGTTTATCTTGTGTGAACAGATCTTGATGCTGTCCACCTCATGCCCTCAGATTACATGAAGTCATTCTATGACACTATGAGAGCTGACTCAGTTGTAAAACATTACATAACAAGAGAGCAGTAGTAGCTGAGAGCTCTTCTCTGCCATCTGGTGGCTGGAAGTGGTTATTGTAGGGATAAAGGTGTGGGTTCTTACAGGCTGGGAGCTGCTGGCTGTGTCCATGTCTGCTGGGATGGGAGCTGCAGAGTCCAGGCTGAGGTGGGCCAGACGCTGGGTGTTTCCCGCTCTCAGTGGGGACAGGGACTGGGACCTGGAAGTGCTCCTTTTTTCTCTGTCCATCCTGCCACCTTTTCTCCTTACAAAGGTTTGAGGTTGTGTCCTCTGAGGAGAGCAGGTCCTGGGTCTGCTGGAGCACTTTGTGTTTCTCTTTATCTCTGGACTCTGGAAACAAAAGAGCCAAAACATAGCACACACAGCTGGACTTCCTAGCTGCAGATGTTAAACCTTCTGCTAGAACGACAGGTGTTAATCTGATTTACTCAGATATTAATATTGATTCTTGCACTTCTGTATTGTCTCAGTCAGAAGCACTTAGTGGACTGGTACTGTCTAACAAAAATATAATCTAATCCAGTTAATGTGGTCCCCTCAGGAATGATGCAGTTTATTATACATCACCTACACATTGAGCCACATAACACTGTATAATCTTTACCAAGGGTACGTTGGGGTAAATGTTGACCTCTGCATCAGCTGAGCACTCAATGATGGTGGTTTTGGTGGAGAACTCCAACATCGGAGCAATGCCCTGAGAAAAACAGAGGGGAAGAAATATTTGTACCAGAATCACATGAAACCTGTAAGAAAGTGTTGTACAACAAAGAAATGACATGCAAGTGCTTCACATGAAAAGACATAAAATGAACATGTTAAAAACATGTTAAAAGAATTGATCTAAAATGAAAAACACTAAAAAATATTAATGGAATAATAACAAAATAATAAATGAAGTAATAAATAATTAAAATAAAAAATGTTATAACATTAAATGATTACATAGAAAGAATAAAATCGGTACGACATCAATACTTATAAGAGCATTTAAAAGTGCTGAGCTGAGCACATACACAAACATACTGACATTATGACTACAGTACAAAGTGTATGTGACTGTATCAGTGTGTATGTGACTTTGTCACATTTGACAGGGGACAGTGAAAGTAGAAATTCAGTGAAGGAAAATTCTTAAAATGAACAAACAAAAAGTCAATATTTTGTTTTTGACGCTGATTAATGAGAATAAAATTATCATTAGAAGTTTGATAGTGTCAGAGATATCATTTAAAACCTTTAATAAATATCAAAATGAATGTGATGTGGACATGGACTACAGAATTGTACACTGGTGGTTAATGTATTAGGATGGACCTACTGGAAAGTGAGCTGCTCGGGTCATCAGAATCTTTCGGTCCACTCCAGAGAAGGAGGGAACCAGTCTGGGCTCTGGGTACAAGAACCGTCGAGCATCTTCCTCGAAGCAGGCCAGAGTGTCCCCTGCTGCAAATACACATACACAGCTACTGTAGAGACCCTCTGACTGGAGTCCTCTTTATGGACTATTTCAATGTAAAAGTCTGTAGTGCACAAAGACAGAACAAAAAACAAACACAGTCTCACCAGGGGGGACCAGCTGCACCAGCTCAACTCTGATCATCTCATCTGAAGAGAGGAAATAAATCTACAGCATCATCATCTCAAATGCAGAGTGAGGACATTTATGGTCAAAACTGTCAAATACATTATACAAAACCAGCTGTTGCCGAACATGCCACAGACAGTAAAATGTGACAACACTGGGTTCAAAATACAGACATGGAATAATATTATTGCCTGTGTCTGTGAGATACTTTTAACTTATCGAATCAAAAGCAATTATAGTCAAATGCAAGACTGTAGAGTTATGGCGAGAGGACAAACAATATGCTTCAGTATAGATAAAGAGAATTAGAGGGAGCGGATATCGTACAGAAACACACACACACGCAAACGCAGTAAAAGCAATAAAATGGCTATGGAGTGACACTGTCTGTTAAAACCAGTAAGAAGCTGGAGTTGGAGGCGAGAGAGAGACTTTTGATTTAAGCCACAGAGGAGTAAAATATGATTAGGCAAGCAAATCAATTCAAAGCAATAAATGTGACAAATGTGTGTTTACAATAAAAGATAACTTACACTCAAGCATTACAGCGATGTCTCCAGGATCAACTGCATGCCTGAAAATCTGGAGAGAAAACAAATCTCAGCTTTTAACTTCCTTATTTCACAAATATTATCAATATATTTCCAGGAGCTGACAAGCTGGTAGGTAAATACAATCACATAAAGCTTATATATCTATGCCTGTGCTCTGACAAGGTAAATGGGTGGATGCAACAAAACTTCCTCCAGCTAATAATGACCAGACTGAGATAGTTCTGTTTCGAAACAAAGAAGAAAGGTTGTAACTTAGTGTCTAACTGGAATCCAGGGCATTAAAGACTTCAACCCATGTTAAAAATCTGGGTGTAATCATGGATGGGGATCTTTCAGTGACCACATCAAAACTATAACAAACTCTGCATTTTGGCATCTCAAAAACAGCTAGGTCAGAGACTGTGTCTAATCAAGACTTAGAGAAAGTCATTCATGCCTTTATATCTTCCAGAGTTGATAATTGCAACACTCTCCTCACTGGTTTACCAAATAAAAGCATTAGACAGCTACAACTCATACAGATGCTGCTGCTCAGGTTCTGACTAAAACTAAGAACAGAGAGCATGTTACTCCAGTTCTCAGGTCTTTGCACTGGCTTCAAAGTTTTACTTATTGTCTATAGGTCACCAAATGGTCTGGGCCCTAAATATATTTCAGAAATGTTCCATGTACATGAGCCCAGTAGGTCTCTAAGATCTACAGGAGCTGGTCAGTTAGTGCAGCCTAGAGTTAAAACTAAACAGGGAGAAATGGCTGTCAGTCACTATGCTCCCCTTTGCTGGAACCAGCTGGAACCAGCTCCTAGTGGATAAAATCATCCATCCATCCATTATCTATACCACTTATCCGTGCAGGGTCACTGGAGCAAATCCTAGCTGACAGGGCGAGGGTGGGGTACACCCTGGACAGTCTATCACAGGGCTGACATATAGTGACAAACAACCACTTGCACTCACATTCACACCTATGGGCACTTTTAGAGTCACCAATTAACCTGCCTTCATTAAATTTTTAATCTTGCACTATAATGAGATATTACTTGTTTTATAATTTATGTTTTTATACTGTTTTTATAATGTTTTCTTATTATGCTTTTTACTTCTATTTTTATGCTTCTTTCATTTCTGTTAAGCACATTGAATGACCTCTGTGTGTGATAATGTGCTATACAAATAAATCTGCCTTGCCTTGCCTATCTGTATGCAATCATTCATTACAGGCATGTCTCTTCACTTCGTGGAGAATGAGAATAATATCTAAATAATCGATAATTGATACCTTTAAAAAAAAAAAAAGTCATGTATTATGTTTCAGGTACATTTCTACTTCAGATTATTCAAATGTTTCTTCATCACTCCCTCCCACATTGATAATAAGTAAAGACCTGCCTTTTCAAACATCATCTTCTCATGGAACAGCAGAGGGAAGACAGCAGGGAGACATTTAGACTGACGGTACTGGCTCATGAAGCACATGCTGAGGTAGATATCATCTTTGGCTTGCAGGTAAACTCCAGGACAAGAAACCTGAGAAACATATACGTTCAATTAAACAGGGTTATAAGTCAAATCTGTGTCTCAGATATTTTCTACTGGCTGCTAGTAGAGATTAACAAAGGTCCTACATTACTTCATGCCGATTAAAGGAACACTCCAACACAAAGGACATTAATTTCTGATTGAGAACAATGGAACAACAGATTAAACTGCTCTCATTCCCTCTGATTTAACTCTTCACTGACATATAATGAATATAAGTGCTGCCTTCTTTCTTTTAAAATTGTTTAGCACAGCTGTGATGCAAATATGTTCCCCATGTTTTCACAAGACTATCCAGCTCACACAGGCTTATGGCGTTTGAATAATTAGACTTCTCATGAAAGACTGTGCTCAGCCAGTTCTGGCCTAAGAAAACCAGCACTGTCTGAAATCATCCCTCACTCACTCATTCATTTACACCTTCCTATAATGGACACTCAGTAATTTATTCAATAGTGAGCATTACATTCAGATTTTAGACACTTACTATTCACCATGTTGCTCATTAATGACAGCTGACATGAAACACTGTGCTTTGCATTTTGGGTTTGTTAACAGTAGTCATGGATACTACAGTAAAATTTAATAAAGTGGCCAAATTTACACACTCAAAATATTAAATAGGGAGTGATTTTGGACACAGAACACACAAGTGAATGGTGTCTGGCTCAGTAGACCTTTTCTCAGTCAGCTGGTTGAGTTGGAATTTTTACACTTTTTGGTGAAACGCTGCCTTTCAGCTAAATTATTTTCAAATATAGATATCATTATATATAACATAATATTTACAAAAACAATCTAATACACATTCCCTAGCTGGGCTCCCCTGAATGGGTCAAATGTAAGTAGATTTCACAAACAAACAAGGTGTAGATCAAATGTACATTAGTCATTTATCATGAGGTTTATGTTAATTGAATTTTAGTAAGTTGTTGCACAGATATACAGCCTAATTGTGTTTACAGCAGTAATGAATGCTATGACCCAGCCAGAGCCTACAACTATTAGAAATGTGACCTTATAATGAGGTCATATATATATATATATATATATATATATCAGTTTAATATCATATATATTATATAATATATATATTATATATATATATATATAGTAATATATATATATATATAATATATATATATATATTATAAACTATATATATATTATATTAATATATCTATATTATATATTATACAACATATATATATAACACCCAACACACACCACACACACACACACACATGAAATTACTTAATACCCTGGCAAATTTTGACTTAGATATTATTTATTCAACCAGCAATTTTTTTTTTTTTTTTTTTGCCGAAATGACACAGGCTTCTCCCAGAAGATAAATAAGATGATGTACAAGAGGATCATTGTGAAAAAAATATTCTCAGCTTTTATTTTCACATTGAACAAAACAGTTGGCATTGTCCAAAATTATTCATAACCTTCTCAATAATCAGAATAGAGAAGCCTTTTATGGCGCTATACAAGCAATCAAATGCTTCCTATAATTTGCCAATGACCACTCTGTTTGCATGTCTACAACTGTGTTTTGGCCATTCATCCTTTAGCCGATAAGCTCCAACTCCTTTCAGTTGGAAGGGTCTCCTTGCCTATCACCCTAATCTTAGCTCCCTCCACAGATATCTTCAATTGGCTTCACAGTCAGAATCTGCGGCACTAGCAAAACGTTCATTTTTTGTCCGCCCAAACCATTTCTCACACACTTGCTGCTGTGTGTTATGAGTCGTTGTCAATGCTGAAATGTCACTGGTGCCCAAGCCAAGTGTTCTTTCTGCAGACTGCCTTGCTTGTTCTTGAAGAATCTTATGACTGTGTTTGCTCTTTTTCATGTCGTTTCTTCGTCTTTTTTTTTCTACTCTTTGGATTTACTGGATTTTCCCCGGCGATCGCATTGCCTGAAACACCCCCAAAGCATTAGGTTCCCACTCGCAGTTTGACAGTGGGGATGGTGTTCTTAGGGTTTGAAGGCTTCTCCTTTTCTACGCAAAATGAAGGATAATCATTGTGGCACAAACAATTCAATTTTTGTTTCTGGCACCATAACTAAACCGAGGTCTCTAGTCGATTGCAATTTGCAAAGAAGCGGCTGTTCCTACGAGAATCGTCTGTGCGTTGACCGCAGCAGTGTCCGTACGCGCCTGACTTCCCAGCGGCCAATTACCGGTGCTTGGTTCGAACTTGATTCTTACCCTCACTATCTGCCCCAGCCCATGCCTCATGATTTTCCATGACAAACTGTTTTATATTACTGCCCCACGCACACGCTGAAACATTAATATGCTGATGCCCTTATCCTGAGACGTGAGCGCCTCCTACTGCGTCCGCTGACGCCGCCAGGTGCCCTCGTTGCCGCTCTGTCTAGCCTTGAACTGCACAGAAGCCAGAATCCTAGGAGCTGGTCTTGTGGGTCAACGCTTAATGCTGCATTCCTTAACACCCTGCTCTCATGATACCTCAGGCTAATTTCTAGATGAGTTTAGCCACAGCGAAGCTTGGACTATTTTGAATGTATAGTAACTTTGCATTTTCTGCCTAGAACTGTGGGACTTGCAAAAGCAGCTTGAATAATCTGGCACTTGCCCTTTCCTGACTTAGATGATCATAAGCTAGAATTTTCCACAATGATCCACTGCTCGTCATATGAGTCTTAGTGAGAACCTTGTTTATTCCTCAAAAAAATGCATGGTAACTTCCAAAACTGTCAAAATTCTGCCAGGGAGATAATTCAGGCTTGAATAATTATATATACTATACCTGCCTTAAGTCTTATAAAAGCAGTGTTCCATGAATCAGGGTAGATTGATGCTTTACCGCCATGTGAACCATTGAAAGGATTAGTTTTGAAAACCAAAGGAGACGGGCCTTGCGTCAGTTCATTTACATACTTCACTTTGATGTTTGGATTAGTCTTATATTTGACGTCATGCTGAAGAACTATTGTTACTTGCTATTTGAAAAAGTGCTATACAAATAAATATCATTATTATTATTGTCATAGATTATTATCATATTATAAAAAGCAGATTATAAAACTAACCAAATAATCACAGAAAAAAATAACCCAGATGTTAATTAATTAGAATAGGTGAATAGATGTCCTGCCTTAACAATTTTAATATCACCTGCGCGCCTGGTCGATACAAGGAATTTAAAAATGATATCTAACCAGGTATGAAAAAATATATTCGCTAGCATAAAGATATATGCGACGCCGTGTGACCCTTGAAATATACAGACTGTAAATCCAAGCGCTGCCTAAAAACGTGTTTTTTAGCAGCTAATATTTAGTTTTTTTAACGAGTCATTTTAGTAATACCCGAAAAAACGCCAGACCGCCGGGTACAAGCGACCCGGAAATTGAGTTTCCCTCCGCCAGGAGTGGCCGGCGGCTCAGCCTTAGCAATAGCGGTGAGGAGCTCGGTCATCCGGAGGGACTCGGAAAGATTAGAGCGCTGCCTTCTCCATGTCGAGAAGGGAGCCAGTTGATGTGTTAGCGGACATACTGCGTGATTGATTCCTCCTGGGACGCCTACCCCGCAAGGGAGTGTTTTCGGGCCATTCCCAACGCGATGGAGGAGACCGTCGAGCGACCACAACTACACGCTGGAGGGATTATATTCTCAGTGGCCTTGCGGAACGCCTCGGATTTCCCGGAGGAGCTGCGTGAAGTGGCTGGGGGAGAGGGCCTCTGGGACCTCTCTGTTGAGGGCTGCTGCCCCCCGCGACCCGGATCCAGATAAGCGCGGAGAGACGACATACGATACAAAAACGATGTATTTTAAAACAGTAACTAAGAAAATGCTAGAGACTAGAAGCATAGAACATGGGTTACGACACACCGTTCAACTCCACACAAACCATATGAAGTTCAGGACCCGCTCAGTTCAGATGAGAGCAATTACGATGTCTACCCGCCTCTGAACTTTACCTCAACATAACACTTCACGCTTTTCGCTAGGGATTTGGACCCTCCGGCTTGATGCTCATCAAAACGAAACAGCCTTCTGCTCAACCGATCAAAGCACTCACTCTATCGTTCAGGTTTAGCGTTACCTTGCCCCTTTTACCATGCGATACTAACAACTTCTGGGTTTAGCTTGCCTGGAGCAACGCAGAGCTGTTCCTTCCATTCATAAATATTGTCTAAATGTTTTAGGGCGCGGACGCGTAGTTACATAATCCTTTCTCCATATTAATATTACCTGCCCTCAGTTGTGACGTGTCGGACAGTCTTTCGGTGCATTGTCTACGTGTTGTCTGCCCACCAATGCATATTGTAAGCACAAAATTAAACCCATAGAAACATGGAAGAACAGCATTGCTCAGACTGCTGTCTATACACGTGGTGGCGCATCGTCGCCA